CAAGAAAGTTTTTACTCGCTGAATTTAGGTTGGCAACGCAGCCGCAAATGATAAAATTTATTTAGTTGAAACAAAATTTTATCACTTACGGCTGTTTTAAGCTTAAACATTTAAGAATTTTAAAGGTACTTACATTACATTTTTCATATAAATTATTCTAAATTCGCTTCTTCTGTTTGCTATATATTCGGCAACTTTTGGGCAAGCAAGGTACGGAAAATTCAATGTGCAATAATCAGTCATAAAAAGATCGGCTGCGAATAATTCCAACTGCGGCCTTATCAAAATATTTGCAATGTGTCTCTTTAACGATGAGATTCTGAGACGAAAAAGAATGGAGGTCTCAGCTATGTTTTTAACGAGAATTTTTTTATTTTCTTGTAAAAGCGAAAATCTGTGAAAAAAAATTTTTATAATCGAGCCAGAAATGCTCTCAAATTGGGAAAATAATATTAATATTCTGTTTAAAAACAGCTGAAAATCTATCGAATTAAGCAATTTTTTGTGTGATAAGTCGGTTCATTTGGTGTAATGATTTTTTAATTATTTTATGATAAATGATATGATTTTTTTTCCAACATAAAGTTTTTTCGGCCTGCGATATACTTTATACAGTCGACTGTCCACAGTCGCTACCGACAGTACACACACACGTAAACCAAGCTAAGCATATACAGCCCACCGATTCACTTTATCTGCATCTACGACACCCTCGCATTTTCCTCTCTCTTTTTTTCCCCTACGTCCCACAGCCACATACGCTGCCCTGCGCGGCGAAGATCCTCTCGCTGCTGCTGCTGGCCACGATCAGCCTCCAAGCGTCGTCGGCGGCCTACGTGCGCTACAGCTACGCGTCCGGCCAGAATCCGATCTTCGATCGGCACTCGTACGAGAACGCCAGTCGAGTGTTCGCCGTCTGCGACGAGACCATGAGCCAACGCAGCTGTTGGGGCCCGGCGGCTCGGACCAGATGCCTGGTGAGCCGAGTCGACGGCGACGATCATCGGGGCCACTAGCAGCGCGACTGCAGCATCGCCTTGAGCACGAGTCGACGCGGAGCCGTCGTCGAGCCCGGCTCGATGCAAGTGTTGCGCTTCGGCGCCGACAAAGCCATACTAAGCTGGACCGATACGAGCTCCAACGCGACTCGTTGGCGACCGATGGTCTTGCGGTCGTCAGCAGCGATCGGCCGGGCGACGAGTGCCACTTGGCGCCCTCCTCCTCCGATCGCAACGTGCTCAGGTGCATGGTCGTGTTCGACGATCGCGCCCAAGTCCTGTTCGGGCCCGATCCCGGCTTTGTGCAGGCGGCGCGCGACGACTCGATGATCATCGCACCGCTGGAGCACGGTACAACGACGCAAGACCATCTGCTCATCGACACGTTTCGGAGGCAGCGCTCGACCGTCGCTCGAGTTTCCATCCTGCGTCTGGACGGTAGCGTCGTGCCGCTGCGGAATTACACGATTCTGGACGCCAACTCGACGGACGTCGATCCGTACAAGAGGATCGCCTACTCGACGGCCAACGGCTGACCTGCCACCAGTGGAATCGACGCGGCGAGCTGAACTTCGAGACGACGTTCCTGGTGAGGCGGCACCGACACCTGCGCGAGTTCACCGTGATGAATCTGCCCCCCGGCTACGGCGGTATGCTGCTGCTCACGGCCGACTGCCACGACGTCGCCTGCCGCGACTCCGACAATCGCAACTACGTGTCGAGGATCGAGAGCGACGGCAGCACCGGAGGAGTCTCGGGCTCGTCGCTGGTGTTCGACAAGCACGAGTGCGACCGCAGGATCAATCGGGCCGACGCGCAGATCTACGAGGGTCCCGATCAGGGCCGCTACTGCTACAGCCAGGTCTGCTACGAGTACTTCTTCTGCAACGTTTACAAGGACCCGGGCCAGAGGAGGAGCAGAGAGTTCGGGATCGACGCGCGGTGCTTCAGCGACGTGGACTGGCACGCCGCCGGCAGAAAACCCGACGAGTCGCATAATTACGGCCAAGACGAGGGACAAGAGTTGTGGTCGAACCAATTTTTCACTCAATGGTACGGCCAATGATACGGGTTTTGTTTATACACGGCGTGTAAGACGTCGCCATTTGGTATAATATAATTTAAATGTATATAATAAACACAATCACATGTTTATCCATTTGACCTCGACGTAGAATAAATAATTAATTTTTCATACAATTGAAACGATCTGCCTCGTTCTTACGACGCTCGGCAGATCGACGGTCAGTCACGAGGACTCGATATTTCTCGCTGATTTTCCCTTCGATGTCTCGCCACCAAATCGACTCGATATTACGAAAAAATTTGAAAGATGATAAGGTGCGTCGCTTATTCATGCAGCAGTGGCAGCGGCAGCACTGCTACCATATATACCTACTTCGCAGAGAGACGAGCAAAACTCAATTAAAACTCGCCTCTCTGTTTTGATTTAAATGCGGTTAACGTACTTTATCGTCGCGGCACCGCAGCGGTCTGTAATCGACGATAATGGTTTTTTCAAATTTCAAGATAGCGAGCACAAACTTCGACGATCAATTATCGTACATTAGTAGCAAGATGTTCGGGTCGGTAATTTATCGACGAATACCCTCGACGGATAAAAGTTGGCTTGCAGATAATTATTTTATACTGTTGGTTAGTTACCATTGAATGAGTTGTTTAGGCACATGAAAGGAGTGAATTTAAAGTGCTAGATGAATGATACGTTTTTGTAACGATACTTTTAACACCATTTTTGAAGAAATGTTGAAGTTCGGCGATTGTTCCAGATTTTCCCTTTGCTCGTTTATGGATTTAATGATTTCGCCGAAAAAAGTCGATAATATTTCTTTAAAAATTATTCAAACCAAATACGCGAATCATCCAATTACTTTAAAATGAAATATTAAAAATGCTCCGCTTGTTTTTTGAACAACATTTTCTCGAGGTTTTACTGGCTTATGCTGCAAACATAGAAATTGAAAAAAAAGTTTCTTAAGAATAGGTACACGATATCAAATCTCGGTATGACTTTTCATAAATGCAACTAAAATATGATCAAAATAAATAAAATTAAAATCCAAGCAAATTTATAGAGTCACTCGACCAGTGATTGAAAGGTTTAGAACATTCCGCTTTCAAGAAGCTCGGATGCATGTTTTTAGTCAATTTTAGGTAATCGAACCAATAGTTTGTCAAAATTCATACCTTCCTGTACCTATTAGAATTTTTACAGAATTTTCAATTAAGTTTTTCATTTATAAAAGTTCATGAAAACAGAAAAAAACGTGCTATATCAGTGAATGAAAGCCGCGAAACCAGTAAATGAATGTACAAATATAAGCATACGTTGATTTGGCAATCAATATAGACTGTAATATATCACCTTTTTTATTGAATAAGAAACAAAAACATAAATTTATCATCCAAACCAACCCCTTTATTGCCATATTGCCATGATTATAATAAGGACACCTGTGTTAAGGTAGTATCTCACCTTTTGGGTCACTCTACAATAAAATAACATCTTTTTGTCAAAACTTGACTTATGAATAAGCACTATTTTGCAATTTGCAACTCTTGGTTAAAATCCTCGATTTACTACTTAATCAGCAAAAAAATCTCAATTTTCTAACCTTTTATTTTAATTTTTCAGATTTTCAGTAATTAATATATAGCTAATAAAGTAACATTCTGAAAAGTTTTACATAAAGCTGAAGTATTTTTAATCTATTACGAAAAGTTTCGTTTATATCTCTCTATAGATTTGATAAATACTCGATAAAACATAAATTTTTCCTATGTTACCCATGTTAAATGAGTAATTCATGTTATAAGACAAGTTTTGCTGATTTTTCAGGGATCTTTTTTAAAAATCAGTTCCATTTGAGTGGCGAAGAACCATTTTAGAAAAATTTTAAGACCTCATAGATAAAGATTGGTTCAAAACTCCAATCAAAATATGCTTATATTTGTACTTTCATTTAATGGGCAAGTGCGAACTATTCGCAACACCAGTAAATGAAAGTTGAATAAGAGTGACATTTTCTAATTAAAACTTGATTTTTCACTGAAAATGCAATTGTTTAACATATAAATGACAGTTTTGAAGGTAACTAGTCCGGTATAAAAGGTTTTGAGCTGCTCATTTTTTTTACAGTGATTCTTCCAAAGTTTAACGATCTTCAGCGATTATGTATAAAATGACCGTATTTTACGACTCAGCGTACGATACATTCGTAAATTAATTCCTATCGTTAAACTATATTGATTTTGGACTTGATAACCATTCGAATAGCTACCAATAATACCCAATAATAGCATAAAAATTCGTCGTTCATGAATAATATCGTTATCAATTAATAATTTTTGTTTAAAAAAGTGCTTTCATTCACTGGGTGGGTGACTCTAAATTTAATTTTTTTTTTATTTTTTCATTTGAATGTCATAAAATGCTTGTACAATTTAATAACTCGTTTGATGCTCTTTTGGCTCTCAGAGGTTATCAACATTATTTTTATTGTTTTAAAATTTTGAACCTCCTTTATCATGTATCTGCAGGAGACCCCAAAAAAATTTAAGGAAAGATTCGTCGCCCACGACTAAAGTGATGATAGGGAGTTGGTACGGTCGTTGCGCAGCGCACCAAATGGTCAGTTGCAACAGTCGCAGCTGCAGCCAATCCAAGTTGTAGGTGAAAGTAGCCGTTGTAACGCATCTGTAGTTTCGTATATATGCCGCGTCATTCGGTAAAGATTAGAAAGTGAATGTCCATCGAGGTAAAGACCGTTAGTATAAGTTACGACGCCGCTACGTGAACAGCTTCACGAAGATCGCATCGACCGAAAAAACACGTGGGACACTCGTGACTAAAGTAAAAAATATTTACGACATTGTGTACCGTGTGTGTGAGTGCGCGAAATGTTTCGTTCAGTCAACTCCTTCGTACGTGCGATTCGTCTCATAAAATTGAAGAGATCACGAGGGAAGCTCAATTGGGAGATGGAAGAAGAGCGACACGAATTTATTAGTCGACTCGTAGGTTCGATCAGCAACTGGAAGGGTAAACCCCAAGATCTCCTGGACATTTTTCGACCCGAAGAAATCGAGTGTCTTCTGTCGGATTGCATAAAAAATATTTCCGAATACGGAAGTTGTTATCGAGCATTCGTCGAGTTTGTGTTTCGCAGCGGCTACAAGGATGTGTCCCAACTCGACGACGACGGCAAGCCAATGTTGCGTCGAACTACACCGATACATCATGCGGCTAAACGAATTCAATTGGCTGCCGTAGTCCGTGAGCTTTTCCAAATATACAAGTGCGATGTGAATTACATCGACGAAACTGGATTGACTCATTTCCACGTAGCCATTCAGTTCGGCTGCGACGACGTCGTCGAGAAATTCTTAGAGCTCGGCCAGGATCCCAATATCCTCGTGCCGCAAACGGGCGACTCGCCTCTACACTTGGCGGTGATGTTTGACAGAAGGAAGATCGCTGAAATGCTGCTGAGAAGTGGAGCCAATCCAACTTTGGTCAATGCTGAAGGACTGACTCTCCTGGACATCATTAGCAAGGGTCACCGCGACGATGTTGACTTGGCGATGATGGTGTTCGAGCTCGGCAACGAAAAATATCCACTGTGGCTGATCCATGGCCCGCTGAAATCAGCAGTGTCCAACGGCCTCGTTAATCTCGCTAAATTACTACTGACGAGATGCGCCGATCAAGAATTAAATTCAAGTTTACCTAGAATTTTCTACTATCGATGGGAAAAGGAAGTGACTCGTATTCGCGTTTCCAAGAACTTACACGACGATGATTCGTTGGAGATTGTGTCGAAAATAATCGACGAACACCTGGTGGAACTATTGCACTTGGCTCTATGCAACGGCGAGAAAAATACGGTCGAAACTCTGCTAAGACGCGGCGCGAATCCGAATTCGACTTGTGATTATGGATTGACGGCTCTGCACATCGCTTGCATGCAAGGAGACGACGATAACGCGGTCGAGGCTTTCTTCGATATCTGTGATGCGATTGGACAGACGGTATGCCTCGATACTCGCGATATAAGGGGTGATACGGCGCTACACCGGGCCGTCCGATCCAGATTTACGAAGACGAGCGAGCTTCTGCTGAGAAGAGGTGCTGATCCCAATTTAGCCGACAAGAAAGGATTGACACTTTTGCATTCCATTTGCAGCCAACACCAATTGATGGAATTATGGATAATGTTGTTGTTTGAGATCGACGACCAAACGCAACAACGTAGGGTGCAAGTCGACGCTCAGGACGACTTGGGTAACACATCACTGCACTTGGCGCTGCTCCACGGCCACAAGGGAATGGCGGAGGTACTGCTGAGAAACGGAGCCAATCCGAATTTGGCGAATGCGGAAGGATCGACTGCTCTACACGTCGTTTGCAAGGATCACTTATACTATGACTTTCAAGTATTTGCGGAATTATTCTTCAAAATCTGCGACGACAATCGTCAGTTTGTGCAAATTGATGCTCAGGACAAATTGGGCCGGACACCACTACAATGGGCCGTGGCGTCTAACAAGCCGCTTATGGTCAATCTACTCTTGGATCGTGGCGCCGAGATGTCTCGCTTCGTTTTCCCCACCGAGAGTTTCTACGGTGAGAGATTCAACCCAAAATTTAATTATGTTTCTGGTATTAAATTGATTATGGCATCCGGTGCTCTACTCACGATCGAAATTCTCGAGAGCGCGGGTTACGAGCTGGAATCGAGCGACGCCCTGACGGTCATGAAATTTTTTGACAAGCACAGATTGTTCGAGCAGAATCTTGAAAAACGTTGGCACGACGACGCGACAGCGAGCTGTACGAAAAAGGAAATGGTATTTCACAATTTGTCGCTCTACGACCTCAACCGAATGCGACCTGAAGAGGCGGAAACATTACTAATCTTTGGTTTGGGGTCCACGAAAAAATGGCGGGAGCTTCCCGAAAGGTGCAGTCAGGCCTGTCACATGCATCTCTGCGAAAAACTGTCAAGAAGATTTTTCCGCAACTGGTCCCTAGTAGCTTTTATGGAGCTAACTCGCTGCCGACTGCCATTCGAGTGTTGTGAATCGATCATCGATAAATCAGTGTCGAACAAAGACTTGTGTAATATTTGCTTGGCTGCTGCAATGAAAAGTTCGTGATGGCGATAGACATGTTCGTGGTATTTTTCAATGCCTCATGATTTTTAACGTTGTATTTTTTTAATATCGATCGAATAAATAAATTGAAACAATGAGTTTCGCAAATCATGTGTATTTATTGCCTTGCGGCATTTTATCGAAATTAAAATTATTCAAGTACGCTAAAAATACAAATATCTATATATTATGCGTTGAATGAATCTCGCGCTAAAATTTTGGCCTCCCCAACAAATCTGGAAAATCGATGACCAAAAAAAAAAAAAATAATCTTATTATTTATATATCTTGTATTTACCTTGTATTTACAAGGTATATAAATAATAAATTCCTTGTATTTACAAGGTATATGAGTGATTCTGACTAACTTTTAAAATAACGCCTCAAAAAATTTTTGATGAAAAATTTAGCGGCACAGTGTCCGGAATGAATTTTTCTTGAATATTATCAACAAAGAATCCCAAAAATAACTTTGGGCTTTATTTTCCTCCATAGTCCATTTGGGAAACCCGATTTAAATGTGGGTCAAAATAAAACTTTTTCAAATTTTCGAATGACACCGATCTAGATGCGCTTTTGATATGTTATAGTACATGGTGAAAAAATTCTAAAGCCAAAATTTTACTCCCCATCCCCCCCTCCTACCCCCTCCACCCCTATAAACGTCCATTCTTTATTTATATTCATTCTGAAGCCCTGAAGTAATTAAAAAATCTGAAAAAATTCATAATAGTACATATCAACAAAACTAATCACCTTGAATTTCTTCAGATTTTTTGAGGGCTTCAGCCCTTCAGATAAAATAATTAAAAATTTGGAAAATTTATATACGGCGATACGAGCCAATATCAAACTCGAAAAATTTTTTCTCTGTTTTATGCATTGAAAAACATGACCTTAAATTTCTTTGGATTTTTTCAAGTTTCCTTATGCACCTTTTGAAGCGAAAAAACCCCTTTTTCTTTCATGTGTTTTCATGTGACATTACTTATATCATCCCGCACATAATTATCTACGTAGGTGAATTGCGTAGTCATTATAAATGAATTAAATGTAAAATTTTTTTTTTACGGCTTTGCCCTTGATGATATAGCAAAGACCTTAAATTTTGACTCGCAAGGACTTATTAAAAAAATAAAAAATTGTTTACGTTTTCGTAAGACGCTGACTGCTTTGTACCTGTGTAGCATAACACTGTTCTATGCCAGTATATTGCAGAAATAACGACATAAGCGCGCGTCTATGGGTCGCTGTAATTAGTGACTGAGCCGAAAAATTATATTAAAAAATGGGTTGTAAAACAATTTTTTTAATAAAAAAAGAAAGTGTATGAAAAAAAATTATTTGTTGAATAATTTATTTATTCATGATAAGAAAAAATTTTTTCATGAAAAAAAATATATTTATAAAAATTTTTCATGAAAAAAAAAA